TCTCATCGGATTCATCGGATCCCCGCTCAGGTACAACTCACCCGGCAAGCGGCTGCAGAACACCAGCTTTGTGCTGATGTCAAGCGGTGCGTAGACGGCACAACGCAGGAAGTAACTCCACACCCCCCACCTCTCTCATCGGATCCCCGCTCAGGTACAACTCACCCGGCAAGCGGCTGCAGAACACCAGCTTTGACTCACCTGTGCTGATGTCCACTTAATTATTCTCTTCAGCACATTTCATATCCTTTCTCTTTTGCTTATACACCTTTAACTGTCATTTCCACACTGCTCTGGTGCATTGCATGAAATCTAATCTTTAATTTGCTTGCTGCCCTCTTCTTACTACTGTACGGACCTTTAACCCATCCTCAGAGAAGCCCAAGATGATCTTTTTCTGACCAATGTGCTTGTACAGGAAGCCAACATTCTTGCATGTTGCCTTTTCCATGCAATTCAAATCTTATTTTTGTTCTTGCAGGAGTTGTTTCAGTACTTGTGTTTATTTTTTCCCAGTATCTATTTTTTGAGTCTTTCATGTGCTTTCACTTATTTTATCCTGTTCTGATGAACCACGTCACATGGTGTCTAACTTCACCCTCACTGTCACACACTTACACATGCTGCTTCTGGAGTCTCTACTACTGTATCCTGGAGAGTTACGGTCACTGCATCCTTCTCTCACATACTAAACCTTCCCATAACCCCCAGACACAGTCATCTTTGCCATCATAGACGGCTTGAGATGAAGAGAGAGCGTTTGAGTGCTTTGTTTCATCATCAGGCCCGGGGCATGTCTGTCTCTCTTGAAGTATCATGATGCTTTTACTTAACTAACTTACAGAAATCACTCACAGGCTTTGTTCAGACAGGCAGCAAAAATCCAATTTATTTAGCATATCCAAATTAATTTTGTTTAGTTGTTTTTTGGCCAACAAGCAAAAACCAAATGGAGATTTATTTTTACAGACCTGATCCCAACAAAATCCACACACTACCATTAAAAAGTTTAGGGTCAGTAAGATTTTTAAAGAAATTAATAATTTTATTCAGCAAAGATGCTTTAAGTTGATCAAAATCGACAGTAAAGACTAACTTTTTTCAAATGCTGTTCTTTTGAACTTTCTATTTATCAAATAAACCTGAAATATTAAGCAGCACAACTATTTTTAATGATAAACGTTTCTTGAGCACCAAACCAGCATACTAAAATGACTGTGGCATTTACTTTCTATTGAATGGTGAATGAGCAAGCAAGTGTATGTTTCACACACACCATCCAAATGAATGTGTAAACACAGTGATACCTAATGCTTATGTTGCACTGATGAGTTCAGCAGTTTTCCATCATCTCTTTCCAAAATGACAGTCAGCAACTCTCTTATTTCACTTGTTTTACTGATGCTTATGTCTTTTCTATGGCAACTTATGTAGATATTAGATATTAATATAACAACATTTTCAAAACTGTCTAGTCGGTTGGTTGCCTGAGTGACCAGTCAGTTAATCAACAACAAATAAACATTTCTGATTTTGGCTCTTGCAAGATCAGATAAAAAAAAAACAAATTGGATTTTTGTGCATTGTGAACAAAGCCATTTATTTTCCCTCACTCTGTTTCTACCTGGTGATGTTCTGTTTGCACACACACACACACACACACACACAAACCTCAAAATCGCTCTTGCTTTTTCTGGCGGTGAAATCGGAATACTCATCCTCTTCTCTTCCCATTCAGCAGCCCTCTCATTTTACACTTCCTCTCAGTTCTCATAACATTTCCAGAACCCCTATTCCTCTGTCTATCACAACCATCTGTCTGTTTTTCTCTCTAAAATGTGACCTTGCGCTTCCTTCCTTGTTCTGTTTTTGTCTGTCTTATCTTTATAGACATAAACACACACACTTACTCTTACTTTATGGTTGGGCACAAGTATTTAAACATTCAGTTCTTTTTTACCTTCCAAAACATTTCACAGAACAAAACTCACAAACTTATTTTGGCATTCATTTTGGGAAGTCTTAATGTGACTCATATTATAAAGTTTTATTTGGTATCATTATATATATATATATATATATATATATGTCCCTGTGTCCCACATCCGAAGTCTGTTACTCATTCCGAATCATGCATATTTCTGCTCCTCCAGTCTGCAGGAAGCTCTGAGTCAGGTATCTCAAGCTTCAGGGTCACAGGTCAGAGGTCAGCCATCCCGCACGCTGTCTCAGGTGACGGTATTGAGCACTAGCGCCTCCCTGCTGGTCAGGAATGGAAGTGCGCAGCTGGAGGGCTGTCTGGATAAGGCGTCTACTGTGGGCGTGGCCAGCCTGCAGGATGACTTTGGTATGCACTGTAAAATTGCCTGCTGTCTGTCACATCATCTTGTTATCGTCACACCTGCCTGTTATATTTGCATCCTGTGTGTCTCGCATTTGCACGCTGGCTGTCAGACTATTTGTCACGCCTGCAAGCTGTTTCTTATCACATTCCATTTGCATGTCATATTCAGTCAGTGTGCATCTGTAGGTTTTCATCATATTGACAAGTTGTATTGGCTGTGGGACTTAATCGTTATTTATCGGTTTACTGATTTTTCTGCATGTATTTGTGTGTTTGGGATCACACTGATTACACTGGTAACATCATGATCTTGTATCAGATTTTGTATGCATGTAAATGTGACATGGTCTTTCTTTGGTCAGTCAAACTGACTGGTGGTCTAGAGGTATTGATACACTCCCACTGCTGCGGTTAAGGTTTGCTTCCGGTCGGGGAACATGCTTGCTCATTTCCTCCCATGATCAATAGTGCATCTATATGTCTATAAATATCTCTTGTTTTTGAATAGACAAAGACAACAAAATCACGATATAGTGGGTTTTATGAGCTTATGAGGCAAAAATGTAAAAAAAAAAAACTACATCTGTAGACAAAGGATATTGTAGGTCTTGTTTACAACTGGTATTAACTTTAGTTTCATTGAAAATTCATTCCATAAACATTTAAATTTTAACAAGTGTTTCTGAATTTGGCTTTATTTGGTCGGATTACTAAATGTTTTGGACACAATTTACACCTGTAATACTGTATTTAGTGTTTTCCACTTGTGATCAGATCACATAATGGAAACCATAACAATTAATGTTGTTGCAGGCTGTAAAGAGTAAATTTTTTTACTTGTATTGGGGGTCAATGTCATGTCTATGGCAAAAGGCTTAATTGGCACACTAATATGACCCTGGGTAAAGTCTGCTATATGACCCCTGACCCCTTGTGTGTTTGTGTGACTCAGGGAAGCTGACCCCACCTCTCTATGAGGTCGGAGGATGTGACATGTCCCTGGTGAACTTTGAACCTGCAACCAGACGAGCTTCCAACAACCTCTGGTGAGTTACAGCCAGTGTTGTTATTGTGATACTTTTTTTCAAAATTTTTATTTTTACATTTCACTTTCATTTTAGTTTTAGGTAAAGTTGTAGTAATTTTGTGTTTTGTCATTCTCATTAGTGTTTTAAATACGTCTATATAGTTTGTATTAATTCATATTTCAGTTTTAGTCATTTTAGTATATCAAGTTGAACTAAATGAAAATAATACATGTTGCTTTGGTGACTAGCTAAAGTAAAAAAAAAATTTATTTTATTTTATTTCAGTAAACATTTATTTTATTTCAAGTAAAATGTTTTATGAATGGTTTTAGTTTTAGTTTACTATAATACATCACAGTGTACAGTACAACCAGAACCCAGAATCCTATGTTAAATATCTCAGAGCTAACAAAGACTTTCTCTCTGCAGGGAAACAGACTCCCACCTCTCCAGTTCTACCTCAGTTCGTTTTTACCCTCATGACCTGGTGAGTGCTACTGAACACACATACACATACACACACACACACACACACACACTGAATGTTTTCTTTATGCAAACACTCAGAGATATAATTCAGCCACAGACTATGAGTAAATAAACTGACATACAGTATGAGATTATGAATTGCGCACAATAGTGCTTGTGTGAGAAGCAGCACAGTTGAGAAAATGAGCTCAGTGTGTGTGTGTGTGTGTGTGTGTAAACTCACCCTGGCTTAGTTCTCCTTTCCTCAGATGCGTCTGAATCGTTTGCTGTCCATGGACCCAGAGTTGTTGGAACAGCACGATGTGGACGGGAGTCCTGACCTTCAGGAGGCGCCGCACCGCTCGCAGGACTCCACACATAATCACACACACTCAAACAGGCACCCACACAAAACCAAGCAGTACTACCGCCTGTGGCTGCTGCCGTACCTGTGGGTCGGGCTGCACTTTGACAGACTCACACTACTTGCCCTCTTCGACAGGTACACACAAACACACACATTAATGTGCATTACTGATGTATCTCAGCTCATATACTGATGAATGCTGCATGTGTTTATGTGTGTTTGTCAGGAACCGGGAGGTTCTGGAGAATGTGCTCTCAGTGGCTCTGGCGATTCTTGTGGCCTTCCTAGGTTCTGTGCTGCTAGTTAATGGGTTCTTCACTGACATTTGGGTCTTTCAGTTCTGCCTCGTTATTGCCAGTTGCCAGTACTCATTGCTGAAGGTGAGAATCACACCTTTTTCAAATACACACCAATTTAACGAATCGTTTTTAATGAAAATGTGTCTTTCTGTTCTTCAATCAGAGTGTCCAACCCGACTCTTCATCACCGCGACATGTGAGTAAAACACATTCAAATACAATGACACACTTAATTACAATGAGCTAAAAGCATGTAAATTAGTGCTGGAAAAATGAATGTGTTCATTTCGATGATTAAAGGGATGGTTCACCCAAAAATGAAAGTTCTGTCATCATTTAATCACCCTTAAGTTGTTCCAAACCTGTATGAATTACTTTCTTCTGCTGAACGCAAAAGATGATGTTTTGTATAATGTTGGTATTCAAGCACAACCGTTTTCAACACTGAAAATGATAAGAATGATTCTTGAGCACCAAATTATCATATTAGAAGGATTTCTGAAGGATCATGTGACTTTGAAAACTGGTGTAATGGCTGCTGGAAATTAGGCTTTGCCGTCACCCGAAATTAAGTTACCTTTTAAAATATATTGAAATAGAAAAAAGTTACATTTTAAATTGAAGTAATATTTCACAGTATTACTGTTTATTGTTGATCAAATAAATGCAGCCTTGATGAGCAAAATAGACTTCTTTCAAAAACATTTCAGTCATATTGCTCTCAGTCCTTTGGTGTATATTCATGATTATATATAATATTTAATTAATAGCACCTAACATGATAAATTGCGATTAATTACAGAAAATGCATTACTTTTTGTTGAATATTAAAAAAAAAACATTTAAAGTTAAATGACAGATTGGGGGTCTTGGTTCAGATGCAATGTTTTTCTCTTCCTTCTGTGCATGTTTGTTTAGGGTCATAATCGAATCATCGCTTACAGCAGGCCTGTGTATTTCTGTCTGTGCTGTGGGCTGATTTGGCTGTTGCACTATGGGAGTGTAAACAGCAGTTCCACTACAGTGTCTCTGTATGGAGTCGCTCTCACCAGCTCCGTCCTGCTGTCTCAGGCGCGGGATCTCCTCATTGGTGAGCGCTGATACATACGAGGACATAAATTCCCAGCCGATGAATATGTAGCTGTTATTGTTTTGCTCTTTTATTGAAATCAGCATGCTGTACGATTTTTCTCAGCATTCCTATAAAAGTAGAAATACATTCCAGAGCTGAGTACAGAGAAAATCCTGCTGATGTAACGAGGCTTAAGCACTCCAGCTTTACATTATCTCTCTCTCTCTCTCTCTCTCTCTCTCTTTCTCTCTCTCTCCAGTTTTCACCCTGTGCTTTCCCATCATCTTCTTCGTTGGGCTGCTCCCTCAGATTAACACTTTCGTCATGTACCTGCTTGAGCAACTTGACATTCATGTCTTCGGAGGAAATGGTAAAACATATGCACACTTTTACATTAGGACTGGGAAAAATAAGCCCTGTAAGACCTTCATTCATCTTTGGAACATAAATTAAGATATTTTTGATGAAATCCAAGAGCTCTCTGATCCTCCATAGACAGCATGGGAACTAACACGGTCAAGACACAGAAAGGTAGTAAGGACATCGTTAAAATAGTCCATGTGACATCAGTGGTTCAACTGTAATTTTATGAAGCTACGAGAATACTTTTTTGCGCAAAGAAAACAAAAATAAGGACTTCATTCAACGATTTCTTCTCTTCATGCCTCGTGGTACTCTCGTGAATGGCGGCGGACTGACCCGGAAAAGAAAAGAAGAAATCATTGAATAAAGTTGTTATTTTTGTTTTCGTTGTGCACAAAAAATATTTTCGTAGCTTCATAAAGTTACGATTGAAACCACTGATGTCACAGAGAGCTCTCGGATTTCATCAAAAATATCTTAATTTGTGTTCCGAAGATGAACAAAGGTCTTACGGATTTACTATTTCTTTAATAAACTACAAAACTGTGTTGTGTTTGTAGAGATTGGTGTTTCAGACATTCATTGTTATGTCTATCTTCACTCCCAGCATGCACCAGTCTGCTTTCAGCTCTCTATAGTGTTGTGCGCAGCATCATCACCATAGCGATGCTCTATGGGTTCTGCTATGGCGCCTTAAAGGTGATGAATCACTCTACATTTCTTTTGAGTTCTTTCTGGATTTCAGTTGTATTTGTATGGATGCTGGATTGTTCTGTGTTGAGCACATTAAATATTCCTCTTAATATTATGTTTGTTTTCAGGACTCGTGGGATCCTCAGCACATTCCTGTGCTTTTCTCAGTGTTTTGTGGGCTGCTGGTTGCTGTTTCATACCATCTCAGCCGCCAAAGCAGTGACCCCTCTGATCTCATGTAAGTCTTTCTGCGAGTGTGTGGGTTTGTGTTTTTGATAAATAATTCTTGCAATTTTCCTGCTTTAGGTACTTGGTAATTTCTTTGAGTATTTACTGTCTCAGACTTGATGTTTAAGGACCTTTTGTTGTGTTTAGTTTGAATTTAGTGAATTTTAATATTGTCCCTTGTATGTGTAGTTCATTATTGCAATCAAAGGTCTTCCCTAATGTGAAAGAGAAAAATCCAGAGGATCCGCTTTCTGAAGTTCAGGATCCTTTACCTGAGAAACTCCGCAGCTCTGTGGTGAGCAATATAAATCTCACAAACATAGATAGAATCAGACATAAATGGACACAAATGGTCTCTTGTGTCTTGAATGATGCATCTGTGTCTCTTTCTTTCTCTCTGGCTACAGAATGAGAGACTACAGTCAGATGTGATTGTGTGTGTTGTCATTGCTGTCCTGTATTTTGCCATTCATGTCAGCACTGTCTTCATTGCCTTACAGGTAAAACACTATGTTTAGAGATGGAGCATTGTTAAAATTCTGGCCAATACCAATATGCTGATAATTATTTGCATGTTGTGGCTGATAACCGATACATGGCCATATTAAAGTGCCCCTATTATGGGTTATGAAAGGTTCATATTTTGGTTTTTGGAGTCCCCAACAACAGGTTGACGTGCATGCAAGGTCAAAAAACACTTTCATTGTCTTATATTATGCATTCATTTTACCTTACTTGCTCAACGACTCCCAAACGATTCGCTCAACGATTCATTTTTCCAAACTCCTCCTTTGCGTGACGCTAATCTGCGGTGATTGGTCCGATTGGTCGATTTCATTTCCATTTCATAAAGCAGCATTTGTGAGGGCAGTGCTGCTTTGTGTACATCCGTTACCAGGGAAACAGCTATTTTTACTGCTCCAAAAGCAGCATCTAGTGGCAAAGAATGAATTTGCATTTTCATTCAGACCAACTCGAAAATCCACTGATGGTTTTACATAGCAAACACGCAGAGCTGTAAATGTGAACCGGTATATATATCCCACAGGGGAAGCCCGCCACACACAGAGTAAGTCTGTGGGAAACACTGTAGCAGTCTTCAGTAAAATGACGGGGACACAAAATGAACTTTAACCATTGATTCTTCACAGCCTCGTCCTTTGGCAGTAAAAAAGAAGAAAAAAAACACTGATTTACCCTCACAGTGCAGAGCACAGTTTCAGTGTTTGAGGGAGGGGGGGTTCAAGTTTTCCCGGGTCTGCGCGAGCAATAAGTGGCGGGCAATATGCTAATGTTTCATGTTGACGTCAATGATTCAGAGTCGACTCTTTCTTTTTAGAGACAATAAGGTGCACTTTCAGATTTAAAACTTTGCAGGATGTTTTCATTCTCTTAGAGCTGTGTTACACATTGCATGAAAGGTAATTTTCAAAAATCCATAATTAAGGGCACTTTAATATATATTCTAATGTTGTTTAACTAAATTAAAAATAAAACACTAAAAACAAAAATCAGTCATTTTAAAGGCTACAAGTGAATTTAGACATCATATGCACAATAAAGTCTTACAAAATCAAAATGGCAAAATCTAATATTGGCCAATATACAATACCATTCAGTAGTTCAATAAGGGTCAATAAGATTTTTTTCCATCATAGAATCCTGAAAAAAATGCATCATGGTTTTTATAAAAAAAATAATATTAAGCAGCACCTCTGTTTTTAACATTAATAATAAGAAGAAATATTTCTTGAGCAGCAAATCAGTATATTAGAATGATTTGTGAAGGATCATGTGACATAGAAGAACACAGTAGAGGCTGCTGAAAAATTAGCTTTGCCATCACAGGAATAAATGACATTTTTAAATATATCAAAATACAAAACAGTTATTTTAAATTGTAATAATATTCAGAATCAAACGACAGTTAAATATCCAAGGATAATAAATAGGCAGTTGTTGACTGTTCTTGTCCCTCTTTCTTCTTTTCTAGCCTTTTTTGAGCTATGTTCTGTACGGTCTAGTCGGGGCAGTAGGGCTGTTGACTCACTACCTGTTGCCCCAGATGAGGAAGCAGTTACCCTGGTACTGTTTCTCACACCCGCTGCTCAAAACCAGAGAGTATTATCAGTTTGAGATCCGGGGTAAGTCACAAATTTAAGTTCTCTAAAGATAACACTGTTATTCTGCTGGGACTTAGTTAGCATTAACATTACTGAAGTATGAGCTTATTTTCTATGTGCAGGTGCCGCCCATGTCATGTGGTTTGAGCGTACACATGTGTGGCTGCTGTTTGTGGAGAAAAACATCCTCTATCCACTCGTTGTGCTTAATGAGCTGAGTGGCAGCGCACAGGAGCTCGCCAGCCCCAGGAAACTCAACACAGAGTCAGTATTACCTCTTCAATCTGACCTCATGTCTTATGTCTTTTCATTCATTGTTAACAGTTGTTTTTTATTGACGAACTGATTGGCTGTCTGTACCTCATTGGTGTGTATCAGCTCAACATTGTTCTGCACTATCATTCACAAGCAGTCAATGAATTCTTTCTCTCTCTCTCAGGGTCGGAGCTCTAGTGATAACTATCGCTGGGCTGAAGCTACTGCGTTCTTCCTTCAGTAATCCAACATATCAATATGTCACTGTCCTCTTCACGGTCCTGTTCTTCACATTTGATTACCGGCAGTTTTCTGAGACATTGCTGCTGGATCTTTTCGTTATGTCCATCATTTTCAGCAAGGTCAGCCCTCATTCCTGTAGCATCAGTTCTTGTCTTGACCTTTTACTCTTTCAGGGGTTTGATGTAGGCTATACCTTCTGATGAAGTACAGAGTTGCAGAGTTGTGATATTGTACTAACTTTTGAGCATTTCCAAGTCAGTCCAGACACAACTTAAGGACACATGTAACATTCTGTTTGTTATGTATCCTAGCATTTTAGAGTATTTTGTAGATTGATTACTGAGGAACAGATATCTGAAATACTTGGTCAGTTACAGCTGTTTATTATCCCAGGCAACCAAATTTCTCATTTCTTTTGTCTCATATCACTTTACATTAACTTTATTCTTTATAACTAAAATCACTATTTTATTTTATATCTTAATTTTGTAAAACGCTGTATTAAGCAGCATAATGTAAAGTCAGTCATTACCACAAAATAAACCCCTTCACTTGATAGACCCCTCTACATCTCTCTATTCTCTGTAGCTCAAATCAATATTTTATTTTATTTTTCATTTCATTATGTTTTATCAGGGTGTCCACGGGTCCTTAAAGTCTTAAAATGTCTTAAATAACGTTTTCCTAATATAAGGCCTTAAAAAGTCTTAAAATGTCTTAAATTCGGATTCGATGGGTCTTAAATATTTTTGGTCTCATTACCATTAAAATATCTTACGTCTGACAGACCTAATGACTGTTTACAATCATTGGACAGACCGAAGATTTTTTCTTCCCCGCGGTAAGTTACTGCGTCATCACAGAGAATTGCAGTAAGTTAGCAGAATACAGAATACAAGCTCGCGCTGAGGCTCACTCTGTTTGTCTCGAGACTTCAGAACAAATGAGCGT